CCTGTCGTCCGTCTATTCCGAGGGGCAGTAGTATGAGTTTGTGTTTATGCATGACAACGCACCTTCTCATCGAAAAACAGCAGTACAAAATGCTTGGAACATCACGTTATTGATCATGCTTGGGACGCATCAAGAAGCGAAACAATCACCCTATTACACTTCGAGAACTAAAAGATGCTGCTCGTGAAGAATAGAATAGAATAGAATAGAATAGAATAGAAATATGTTTTATTGTCACTGAAAATTATTGAACAATTTTATGGACAAAGCTAAAAAATAAATCAGTCAAATAGTACAAAAAGTATAAAACAAAAACAAATATAGTAAAAAACAGAATAACACAATTTTAAATTAGTAAAATTATTGTACAACCTACATAATTTGTACAGACAACAACAAATGAGACAAATTATAGCCACTGCTTAAGACACCCAAATGTAATTATAAACAATACTAATTTTGTTTCTTTGTTATACATTAAGAAACTCGTCAACTGAATAATATGGTCTTTCTGAGAGATAGATTTTTGTCACCTTACGAAACTTAATGAAGGATGTTGCGGATTTAATTTCTCTTGGAAGATAATTATAAAGTTTCTTTGCACGATATAGAATAGAATTCTTTACTAGCTGAGTGGACGGGATCGGCAAATAAACGTTACAATCCGAATTTCTAATGGAGTAGCCATGGTCAGGTCTATCGGGAAAAATGTTCAGATGCTTTCGAATCAAACAAACCGTTTCCAAAATAAATAAAAAGGGAAGCGTCAAAATTCCGTGATTTTTGAAGTAGGTCTTGCAATGAGTTGTTTGTTTGAGACCAAATAGATAACGGATTGCTCTTTTTTGCAACTTAAAAATAGTATCAAATTGGGCCGCTGTACTAGAACCCCAAAATGGAAGCCCATATCGAAGATGGGACTCGAACAATGAGAAATATGCCATTTTGGCAGAAGATAAATTTAGTTCCTTCGAAACAGATCTTATTGCAAAGCAAGCTGAGGCTAGTTTCTTCCTTAAGGAGTCAGTATGCAAGGACCATTTGAGATCACTGTCAATGAGAATACCTAGAAATTTCACGGAATTTACGATATTGATTTGGCTCTCATTCAAAAGCAAGGATTGCATGACTCCTTTATAAGATAATGCTACAGTCTTATCCACGTTAAAGCTAAGTAAGTTGGAGTCTGACCAAGCCTTGATTATAAGTAAATCAGCGGTTATAATTGAATGAAGCGTTGAAATATCAGAGCTGCTCCAAGTAATACTGGTATCATCAGCAAATAGAAAAATTTTCCCTTTAATTTTCAAGTAAGTGATGTCATTAATGAAAAGTAAAAAAAGAATGGGACCTATACTGAACCTTGCGGTACTCCACACTCAATATCTTTACAACTAGAGTCGGTGTCATTTATTCTAACCAATTGTTTCCTACCTACCAAGTAAGTTTTGAACCAGTTCAAAGACACACCCCGAATTCCATAGAAAGTTAATTTTTTTTTTAGGAGAAAATTCCGCAAGCCTAGTTCGACCAGTTAATCAGCAGCATGCCAGATCGCCTACTACAGGCATGCATACAGTGTCATAATCATGCATCCCTATTTTAGTTTCAGTATTTTCTTCTTTTTTACCTAATTTTGCGTTGAAATCTCCCATAATGATGGTGTACTTTGTATCATTTTCGTCTAATACTGTTATCAAATCTTCGTAGAACATTTCAACTACCTATTCCTGATGTGTTGTTGTGGGAGTATACATTTGTATAACCTTGATCTTGGTTTTATTATCTAAGTCTATTATAATGTAAGCTACTCTATCAGAAACGCTTTTATATGTAGAAATGTATGGTGTGGGATACTTTTTGATAAGAAATCCTACTCCACCATATGTTTCGTCTATTTTCCCTGTATAGTGTAATGAATATTATACTGAAACTCACACTTCTTACAAATTCGTGTATGAGTAATTGATATGAGATATGAGACATAAAATTGACATAAAATGAAGAAAAATGTCGTCAAATTACATGGAGTCTTCTTCTTCTTTAAGTGCCTCTCCTATCGGAGATTGGATATCATTATAGCGATTCTAATTCTTGGAATAACATGGAGTCTACCAAAGCCTAAATCTGGACACGGAACCCAAGAAAAAGAGTTTTATCCTTTTGTCTGTTGAGGTGGTGAGTTTCTTATGTCCTTTTGAGAGTTTCCTGACTTGGAAACTTTTCGATTTGATCGATCCCAGAGGATATTCTTATGGAACTATTGGCCATCCTGTTTTCTTCTGTTTGTGTTAGTTTGATTTTCAACCAGTAGTTGGAAATCCGGTGTTTGACTGTTATGGTAAAGTTTGTTATTGTTTTGATGCTATTTTGGTTATCTACCTAGTGGATAACCATAGCGAAGCTTGTCTAAGCTATGTTGTTGGCCACCCGCCTTTGTTGAGATGAAAGCATCTCTCTTTTCGCTCCCAGAAACTTCAGCACTGGTCAGTTCCACGTTTTGGTTAGGCTAGAGCCATTTTAATAGAAATCTGCCATTGTGTCGTTGTGCTTAAGAGCCAACGAACTGTACCTGGTGCCGATTCGTCAAATCGAGCATCTAGTTTTATTTTGAGTGTAATTATGTTAGTACCATAGACAGTTATGATAAGTAGTTTTTGGTTATGATTTTGTTTGTTGTTTTTTGTTTTGTTTGAGTTATTGAAGTCATTATGTATTGTTGCAATAGTTACAAAATGCTGTTGCTCCAACCTGCATGTTGTTTGCCCTAAACGAAAACTTTTCCTGTTAGTCCAGTTTTTGCTCTTACGTGGGGATATTGTAGCATTTTCAATTCATTAATTCTTTAAAATATATTGAAATCCCCTCGTACGTGTATTAAATTGAAATTTTCTTATATATGCATTATAATAACAAAGAATTTTTTCAATGTTTCTTAATTCGTAGCTTTCAATTTAAAACCCAAATATTTCGGTATTTTCAGCGTCGTCAAGTAATAAAAACCATTTTAAAGTTGTTTATTTATTTCGTGGCTGCGTATTTTGCTCGATATTCTTTGATTTATGCCGCCCGAAATACTGCGTTTTCTAATTAATAATTATAATTAATAATCTACGTCTTAATTTCCGTTGTGTTTTGTTATTTTAAATTATGCGATAAATTTTTAGGGATAATTTCGGACTCTCATTGGACTGCGATCAAGAGCGATTCAGCGTTATGTCCAAATTCATGTCGAATTTGTAAAATTTTCCGTTCTTGTCCCTTTTGCCTTTTGCCGTGTAGCGTGTACGATTCCGGAATTGGTGAATGTCATTTTTGAAATGCGGAATCCATCTGCCCAAGCTTTCACGGTTGCCATGGCAACGTGACGTCAGCCTATCCTTACTGATAACTGAGAAAACTGGCGAGTACAGTTCCGTCTAAAAATTCATTATCCGTTTTCACTACCACTGTTGGATGTGTATTTGGTATTCCTATTTTTCGGAAATTTCTTTCAGCGACAATATTTTGAAATTTAGTCTATTATAGATATTTTTATATGGTATGGTGTATAGTATATATAGTAATTATTAATTTAGTTTAGTCACAGCATTAATTTTATTTGTTTAGTGCACTTTATTAATACATTTCTCTGTGGTTTGTTTCGGATTTCGGATATAAAGTGTTCTCGTGGATTTCGTTTGGACAAAAATAATTTTAGACAGACATGAATCCAATTAATGATTTGGTGTGTAATATATTAGAGACCCCATTAGGCATGGGAAAAATGAAGATAAAAGGGATGTTCTTTTACATGGTCGACCAACCAGTATTTTAAACATCTGCGACTGGTCCAGAGTGGTCGGCTGCAATCAGCATCTGACCCAGAGTGGCGGCTGAATCGAAACTCACCAACCCGTTTTAGCAGGCGTGGTGTTTTAATCGCCAAAAAACCCTCAATGAAATGTCAAGGTTCAGAACTAAAATATCCCAGGCAAGCAGAATGAACCGTAGGTATCTAGTATAAGTAAGTGCCCTAAAAAACTGTTTTCAAGTTATTAGGGCCTTAAGCTCTATACATTTTTTTAACGAATTTTTAATGAGATTTGGGAGCGAAGTAGGTACCAAAACTCCTTTTGGCTCCGGCAAGCTTTCCTCATTTTCACCACTTTTTTAGGCCACGAGCCGCCGCTGACCAAATTCTTTTTCCACCGCCAGCCGCCGCTGACCAAATCAACTCGCGGTTGATATAAATCAAAGTTTTTGTTTCAATCACATTTAAAATTAATAAAGAAAATTTTAAAATATATTTAGGTACTCATTTCATTATTGCAGAAATTACATGTTATAGGTACAGAAGTCCATAATTTCGGTTCTTCTCGGTTCCAATTTTTCAGCGTTTTTATCTGTTGGGATAAAATCAATTTTCTATATAAAGAGACTTTAAGCAAATCTGCACATGAAAGGACTCATAGTGCAGATTTTATAGTATTGCTGTACATCTGTTAAAAGGGTGAAAAAGGGTGGGTTAAAAAAGACTCATTTATGTTAGATTAAAAAAGCTACCCCATTCTTGTGACACACGCTTTTTAAACGTTGAGATTAAAATTTCCAATTTGGGAACCTGATAAAAAGCTGTTAATAAGTATTATTTATATACAAAATAAGAAACGACTGCTTCTAATGCCTGTTTCTTATTTTGCGACATATTTCTCTTTTCTTTTACTTATAGTTGGGCAACCCAAATGGCATACTGGGAGGATTCACAAGAGATACATTTTGTATATTCATTTCATACATAGATGGACACATGAGATACATTTTAAACATATATCTTAAAACATAAAAGGAAAGGAAAACCACAGTGCCGTTAAATTATTATTAATTTGATAATGAACTCCTTTAAAATACACAGATTTTTGAATTTTTAGCATATTATGCAGTGACATGCGCAAATAAGTGAAAATTGAGCGCCAGTAAGCAAAACCATACATAACCTACCAATTTGTTTGTAAACTGAAGGCAAAATAAACAGTATTGTAACACAGTGCGATTTTTGCTGAAATTAATAAAAGAAAACAAAGTAAAAGTATGTAAGGCAACAGGTATGTTATATTTTTTTGCAAAAACAAACAGGGTATATATAAAATATTTTAGAATTATTAGATTTGATAAAAAATTGCTATTATAATAACCTATCCATGTGAAACAAAAGTTAGAATTCCGTCTATCAATTCACAGAGTAATTAGATATAATGATTTTATAAATAGATACAATTGAAGAGACAATTTGAATGCTGGGCATAACAAACAAAAAAGACTCATATTAGATTCAAGTTTAGAGTTTAATTATAGTTATATATCTCTCTGCTCTCTTCAAGTTACCAAGCTGTGTGTAGAGTGTCTGCAGACCAGAGGTATTTGAGTAGCAATGCATAATTGTATAATTGAAACCTAAGTTCCCAGAAACAAGTGTACTTCTTCAACTATATTCCTGATGGCATGGAGATGTTGAATCTTAAGTGCACCAACGAATATGTTAAAAACAAGAATGTTTAACTCAGGGCAATCTATTAATTACTTGATTAACATATTTAGCCCTATGTGCTCCAGACTGGTGCATGACATGTTTTTACTATGGACCATGCATACTAATTTGGCCCACATCATTATTGTGTTTAAACATGGCCACAGTATGTTTGGTCCAAGACGAAAAGAGTGTGACAATGCTTTGGGGCTTAACATTTTGAGAATATCATGAGGCGTTAGCAGTACTCTCCTTAAAGACTTCCAGTCATCACACACTTTATACTCCTTGAGTTTATTATTACCTCTATATACTTATTCTCCATATATATTTCAGTAAAAAGGAATAAATATATAACATCGATTGAAATGATACCAATCTAGCATTTGTTGTATGTGCCTGATGGAATAACTTTTGTTTTATTACTATTTACTTTTAGTCCATGTTTGTAACCTTTCATAGTTATGGAGTTATGTTAAAATTATACTCAAATAATGAGGTAGGATATTTTTATTCTTTAGATGCCTAAACAAGTAGATCTCATTACATATAACCCAACTTTTTGATCACAGCTTAGCTTGTGATTATTATGTCGTAATTTGAACTAGTTAATAACTCCAGATGTTAGGAGTGAATTGTGAGTTTGTGTATGTGTTTAAAGGACAATGTTATAATTTTAATGAACAACATAGAGAAAAACATTAAAATCTTGATAAAAATTGTAAAAGGAAATAACTTTACTCATTAATCTAAAATGTGATTAAACAATTTTCTAGCTATTAAATTTTCGATCTAGTTTAATATAACAGTGGATAATTTCCAAATGGGACACTGGAAAATCTATATCTAGGATTTTTATTACTTATTGCTAAAAAAATAATTAATACTGTAATTATTCATTACACGAGAGTTTTCAAAAATGTACATATTAGTCACTTTTTGTCGTTAAAAGGAGAAAAATAACAAGTTCATTATTATAGCTGAATTCTAAATATATTATTTGAAATATTGTTTGGTTAAAAAATGTAGGTGATATGAGTAATTAATTAGGATAGTAATTGTGGTGTACTATAGTAATTAAAAATTATAAGGCTTTTAGTTTGTTTGTCCTGGTATACCAGAAATTACATGATAAGAAGCTTGAAGTATGTAATATAACACACCAGTGAAAATAGTTTTTTCTTATTATAAACTACATCTGTATTTAAATTGAACCTCAATTTGTTTAATCTTGCTTCTCATGATATACTATTCTTGTTTGATGTTACTCAACCATTTTAATTGTTCATTTGTCCAAACATAAAACTTTTTATATTCATTAATGTTCATCTTGATAGCATTTTCGATTAAAAGTTCTGAAAGCATCTAATATCCAAACTATGATACAGGTCATCCACTGCACCAATGACGATTATCAAATAATGAAAAATTTCAAATATATACAAAAAACTAATGTAGTATTCAAAAAAGCCTAAAAATGAGTTACCTAGTTCTTTCATGAAGATATCTATATGTGAGGAAAGTTTTTTTTCTGATGGATTATCACATTAGAGTAAACTTGTAGCTTTATAGTATCATCGTTTTTAATTCAATTCATTAGAGAATAGATTGACATATGGAATGTTGATCAGGTTTTCCATATAGAAAAAGAAAAATATCTCTTGTTATAGAACTCGCCAAGTCTGGGACAGATGACAAGGAACTGAGAAGGACAGGAAAATGTTTTTTTTAAATTACCTACATATATCATCACTTTCATGCAAAAACTAGGTAATTCATAGCTTGGTAGTTTGTTAGAAACTGGCAGAAATAGTTGAACTGCTGATGTGACTTTGATATATTTAAAAATTAAAGAACTGTCCAAATTTGACCATAAAATATTTGAAGAGGTGCAGAAAAAGGGGTTTATTTTGTTTAAATGTTGAGATCATGGCAAAAATTGCTTCTCTAGGAAAATAAGTGCTATCTATAATAATTGCTAGTAGCATCAATCTGGCTCTTTGCAAATTACTTGGTGCAATAGAAAGTGATGTGTATTGATTGATACACAAATGTTTAACTTAGCTTATCGGAGAGACTCATAAAATGTATTATTCCTATCAAATTTCATATAATTGAAACCACATTTTAACCGCATGGTGACAAACTACCATTCAACTTATAAAAATAAAGGGTATATAACATTTTGAGTTTATAAAGTGTAGACTCAGTATTGATTAAAAATTAGTATGTATATATTATTCAAATGGAAGATTACTTCGCAAATGGTTTTTATGGATTAAAGAAAACTATAAAAATGTAATATATTGTGACTACTGTGTTACCTTGGCTAGATGGAAAAATATAAATATCACAGCATCGCCTTATCGTCTCAAACATTTTCAAATAAAAATAAAAATTAAGGCAGTTTAATCTTACCTTATTTAATATTGCACAATTTGAACCCATTAATCCAATAGAAAACAAAACTTTATCACTGATATAAACTTCACATCAACATGTTTTAAAATTTTAAAAAAATCAATATGCTGTAATACAGCAACATATTCTCTGAAAGCAGATTCAAAACTAATCAGCTTCTTTGAAAGCTTCTCCAATATTCATTTTAAAAGGGGTGGAGCATATGTAAAATCCCTTGGTGATCTGAAGGACCGAAAACCATCTTTCTACGCAGAGTCTTTCACAGTATTCGAAGTTGGAGTTTGTAGAGGGGATGTAAAAAGCTACTCTGTAATCGGACATGCTCCAGAAAGAGGTTTTTTAAAAGGGTTGAACCCTATTTTTTAGATGTCAGTATTGCAACCCTTTTTTAATACAAGAGGGTGCAACCCTTCTTATAAATTTGAATGGAGTCACCCTGTTGTGATTTATCCATATTTAATTTAGGATTAATGAATTGTGATTACATGTAAGAAAACTAATTTATTAATTTATTTATATATAATATATTTATGATAATGAAAATGATACAAAAATATTAACAAAAATATAAAAAAAATTAAAATTTTTGTACTAACTAAATATTATATAATGTTCATGTTATTTGATCTATATCTAAAATATGTTTATATTTTGTTTTCTTCTGCTATATAATTGTTGTGTTCTTTTATAGTGCTAATGGTAACTGACCTCCAATGTATGATAACTTTACGATGATCATGTTTTCTAATTACTAAGTATTCTGTCATTTCTTAATAATTTTATTTCTTTTCCTCCAGGATTTTGGATTAGTCATTATTATCTTTGTTATTTCGAAAATGTGTTATGTTCTTGTGGTTTCTGTAATTTGTTAAACTGACAGCATTATTGATTTATTTAGGCATTTATTCCATATAACAATATTACAAGGCTGTTTTCCATTCTCATTGATTATTATTTCTTTATCTTTTTTAGTACATCCTATATTTCTACTAATACTATGTTAACTGCAATTCTGCTGCAGTTTTATACTTTTATTTTTTATGTTGCCTTATTAATTTGATGTAACTCCCTTTAATGTCTTTGTTTTATACTTATATGCAACACCTATCTCTACTAATTACATATCTCCTCATAATTTTCTTTTGGATTGTATCAATAATTGGCCTTCCTGTCCTGCTTCTTACAGGAACTCAACATTTAGTGATTCTTCTTCTTCTTAAAGTGCCTCCCTACGGAGGTTGGCAATCATAATGGCTATTTTTATTTTTTAACTTGCTGCTCTAAAAAATCAATTGATCTGCATTGATACCAATCACGTAGATTCTTCAATCATGAGTTCTGCCTTCAGCCGACATATCTTTTTCCTTGAATCTTTCCCTGTATTATGAGTCTTAAAATTTCATTATTTGGTCCCCTCATCACGTGGCCTAGACATTCCAGTTTTCTGGTTTGTATAGTGGTGATTGGTTCTGTTTCTTTACCAACTCTCTCCAGTACTTCTTTATTTGTAATTCTATCAGTGCATGATATTTTTAATACTTTGAGGTATAGCCAGAGTTCGAGAGCCTCGATTCTTTTGAAATTGCATTTTTTAGTCACAAGTCTCAGCTCCATATAATAATATTGAAAATATATAACAGCGTATAAATATATATGTAGTCTGATCTCCAAATTTAGATTTTTGTACGTTAGGAGTGGCGTCATTCGTATAAATGCTGATCTGGCAATCTCTATTCGTCTGTTTATTTCTGCAGTATGATCATTGGTTTCATTGATCAAAGTTCCCAAGTACTGATAATTTTTTACTTGTTCTATCACGTTACCATTGATTGTCAATAGGTGATGTACATTTTGTAATTAGGATGTACACTTCCCGTCATATAAAACTGGTACACTTTTTTTCCAAATGTAAACCAGTGTTCAGACTGGACACAATGGTTCGTAAATCAATTCGTTATTGCCATCACAGATAACGGAATTGCACTAAATCTAAATAAAAAAAAATAACGTTTAAAAATGTATAAAGTGTTTAGATAGATATTTTTATCATTAACAACAACAAACGGTATCTAATAAATTTAAGAACCAGAGAGACGGTTGAGTTAATGTCCAAAATGTTTGAAGAATTTTTTAACAATGGAGATATGTCAAAATATT